TCAGCTGTGCACAGGTCGCGGGGGCGCTCTGTGTGCGGTTTCCCTGGCCCTGGGCTGTGGGCGAGCGCATTCCTGCTGGCTGAGGTGGCCAGCACGTCTCGGTCACCCTGGCCTTCGGGAAGACATTCTTTGTCCCACTGCAATCTCACCCTCCTCGCTGAGGCTGCTGGATTCCCCCCTCCCGGGCCCCCAGCCCCAGTCCCCCCCAGCCCCGAAGTGCCTCTCTGCCCAGGCAGTCCAGGCCTACTTTCTGAAGTGTCCCTCTTCCTCTAACCCCCTTTTGGGAGGGGAGCAAGCTGGGATGAGGCCTGCCCCTTGAGTCCCCTCCTGGCTCCCAGGCTTGGGTCCTTTGTCTCTCATCCCACCTGGTGGGATCACGGAGGGCATGTGCGGTGGTGGCTCATCCCCCTTGGGGGGACTGGCGGGCTGGTGGGGGGGGCGCCCTTGGGGTGGGGGTGGGGGCCAGGTGGAGCGTGAGTCTCCCTGGGCCCTGCGGCGTCAGTGCCAGGACGGACCAGGGCTGGGGCCAGAGGAGTGGACCCTGTGACGGGCCCAGCTGCTGGAGTGCACGGTTTCCTCCTTTCTGGTCTAGGTGCCCTCAGTCTCCCTGGGCCCCAGTGACAGGTAACCAACCACAAGTTGGGGGGCCATCAGAGAGCACACACATGTTCTCTAACAACTTGGGGTGGCGGAAGCCTGATGTGGGTCTCATCAGGCTGAAGTCACGTGTCATAGAGCAATGCCCCAGGGAGCTCTGGGGAGGAAGCCCTTTCCAGGCATCTGTGCTCCTGGGCTCACAGCCCCCCCCCTCTTCCTCCACCTTCATGACCAGCAGGGGCGGGCGATGGGGTCCTTCCCTGTCCCCGGGGGACCCCCTCTCCTGCCTGCACGTGCCCCAGGAGGGAGGGCCCTGGGATGACCCTGGGCCACCTGTACGGTCCAGGTCACCCTGCTGTTGCAAGGTCAGCGGCTGGAGTCTAATGCCCTGTGCGACCTTGTTCTCATGCCGGGGACTGGAACCTCCTCAGCTTCTGGGATTGGGACGCGGATATCTTTGGGGCCATGACTGACCTGCCCCTCCCCCCACATTGCCAGTGGTCTCTGTCTCCAGCTTGTGAATGGGATCTCCTGGCTTAAGGTGGCACTGGCCACCCCAAGTCTTACTCTGCCTGCAGAGCGCCAAGCAGCCCTAGAGTCCTTGACCTTCACAGCAGCCAGGTCCCCTCCCACGGGGCAGGCAGGAGGCCAGAGGCTATGAGCCCAGTGTGGGCGGCACCCCCGGGCAGGGTGAGCGCTATTCATCAGCCCAGCATTCTGTCCTCTTGCAGTCCCCGTGCCCCGACGACACAGCTGCTGGCCTCGGAGGGGCTGGTGTCCCCTGCGTGCCCCGGCGGTCACCCTGCAGCCAGGCCACCGTTCGTGCCTGCCTGGGCTGGCTAGCCGAGCCCTGCCGGGCCTTATCCATCGGCCCTGCCTGTGGCCCTGCCTGTGGCCCTGCCCGTGACCCAGCGGGCAGTGCCTGCACAGCCCTGCCACCGAGCTCACCTGCCCTGAGTGGCCAGTTTCTCTTCAACTTTTTCCAAACTGCAGCAAAATACACAGAACCGGCAGTTTGCTGTGAGAACCGACCACGCTGGCGTGTCTGATTCCGTGGTACTCACGGCGGCGTGCGCTGTGGCTGTTTCCACATCCGCCTTACGGAGTCGCACAGACCCATTCCGGACCCCCCTTCCCCCTTCGCCCCCTCCTGGCCGCTGCTGACCCCTCCTTTCCTCCCTAGGAACTGCCTGTTCTCCCTGCCCCACACTCGTCCTGGTCCTACAGTTTGTGGCCCCAGTGGCTGGCGGCTTTCACGTGGCCTTGTGTGTTCGAGGCTCATCCACGTGCAGCCTGGGTCAGCCTTTCTGCCTTTTTCTTCTTTCTTTCTTTTTTTTTTTTTTTAAAGATTTTATTTATTTATTTGACAGAAAGAGATCACAAGTAGGCAGAGAGGCAGGCAGAGAGAGAGGGGGAAGCAGGCTCCCCGCTGAGCAGAGAGCCTGATGTGGGGCTCGATCCCAGGACCCTGGGATCATGACCTGAGCCGAAGGCAGAGGCTTAACCCACTGAGCCACCCAGGTGCCCCTCTTTCTTTCTTTCTTTCTTTCTTTCTTTCTTTCTTTCTTTCTTTCTCTCTCTCTCTCTCTCTCTCTTTCTTTCTTTTTTTTTTAAGATTTTATTTATTAATTTGAGGCTGAAAGATACAGAGAGAGCATGGGCAGGGGGAGAGGCATAGGGAGAGAAGAAACAGGGTTCCCACCGAGTGGGAGCTGGATGCGGGACTCGATCCCAGGATTCTGGGATCCTGACCTGAGCCGAAGGCCGAGGCTTAACGACTGAGCCACCCAGGCGCCCCTCCTTGGGTTTTCATTTCCTCCTGCGTGAAATGGTGGGAATGGGGGGCCCCTGGGTAGCTCACTCGGTTAAGTGTCTGCCTTCAGCTCAGGTCGTGGTCTGGGGGTCCTGGGATTGAACCCGCGTCGGGCTCCCTGCTCAGCGGGGGGTCTGCTCCCTCTTCCTCTGCTGCTCCCCCTGCTCGTGTGCGTGCTCTCTCTCTCTCTTAAATGAATAAACAAAATCTTAAAAAAAAAGTCTTTGGGGTCTGTGTAGAGGTGAGCTTGCTGGGCCATACGGCAATCCTGCATTCAGGTTTTCGAGCAGCTGCCAGTTCTTTTTCCCCACCAGCAGCCCCGGAACGCGGCCTCTGGGCGCGCCCCATCCTTGTGGCCACTTGCCCTTGTCTGGTTTTGACTCTGGCCCTCCTGGGGGGCCGGTTGAGGCGGGACCTCCTGTGGTTTTAGTTTGTGTTTCCGGTGACTGCCCACGTGGAGCAGCTCTCTGGGCTCCTTGGCTGGTGGCTCGTGTCCGGAGACGCGCCTGTTCGGGTCCTTTGCCTGCTCTCTGTTGGGTGGTTTGTCTTGGCCCCTGAGTTGTAGGAAATCTTTGTGCGCCGGATATTAAACGCGCACCCACAGCGAGGATTTGAACCCGCTCGGAACGCTGCCCTCTCCCAGACGCCTGGGACACGGGTCCTGTGCTGCTCTTGAGTGGGGCTGAGGTTTGTCACCCGTCCCTGGGCTGGCTTGTGATTTCTGAAGTCCTGCGTCTACACTGCGCTGCGACCATCCAGGCGGGGTCCTTGGCCCAGCCTCAGGGAGAAGCTCCCGGGATCAAAGGGGCCCTTGGCCTCCTGCAGCTGGGAGGCCCTGGGGGCTGGCACTTTCCCCAGCTGGAGGCGACCTCTGTGTGCAGGGGGAGGGCCGCTGCAGGGGGAGCTGCGGGGGTGGGGCAGGGCTCTGGCCCTGTCCACTGTGGGATTCACAGCCCACCTCGGCTCCTCGAGGGCTGTCCTCAGGGCGGTGGAAATCACTGCTCCCGTGTTAGAGCCCACACCATGGTTTGTGTGACGAGGCGAAGGCTTGGGGGTGGCGCTGGGATAGGTGCTGGCTGGGGCATTCTGTTGGCTTCTGGGTAGAGGGGGACCCCAGCTCCCCGCAGCATTTCCAGCAGATGCTGGCTGTTTGCTGTCATGGAGCCAGGGTCTTTCTGTGGGGACAGACAACCTGTGAAGCACCTCACGCCACTGCCATCACACACCGGGACACCAAGGCCCAGAGAGGGTGGGAATGGAGCCCGGGGCACACAACAAGATCGAGGGACCCCAAGAGGGGCTTGTGGGGAGGCGGCTCAGGCAGGAGGATTCTGAGCCAGAGTCTCCCTTTGCTCCCATCGTGTGTTTCTGCTCGCATACTCCCAGGGACAGGCAGCTCACTACTTCTGTTTCAGCCTGTTGCATTGCTGGATGGCTCTCAGAAAGGCCTGTGGGCTGGGAGGAGGGTGGAGGGGCCTGGCTTTGAGGACTTTGGGCTGCTGAGTGGAGTTGTCACAGTCTTCCCTTCTAGGCACAAAGGGGAAGTAACTTCCTGGGTCAGTTGGAGGACAGGGGTGGGGAGGATTTGTCCTGGGCCTGGCTGGTTCCAGGCCCTGTCTGTGGACTAGCCCAGGGAGGGAGCCCGAGGCTGCCCAGGTGCTCTCTAGGCAGGAGGTATGAAGACACTGGACACCAGCACTGGCTTTCCCGAGGGTTCCCAGGATAAGCCCTGCTGACCTGGGCCTCAGTTTCCATATCCGTGCATCAGAGCGCTGCTCTTTGTCCCAGGGCCTGGGAACCAGGGCACTGAGCAGACCTGGGAGCATCTGTCACCCTGAGTGTGGGATGACCCCTTGGCCCTGTGCATTCCCACCCCTGGACACAGCACCAGACTCCGTACCCCCTCCCACGGGAAGTTTCTGGAAGGCAGAGCTGTCTTGCCCCAGGGGCACCCCCAACCAGGGCCTGGCTGCTTTCTGGCCAGAGGGCCCTCCCCTGCTCGGCCCACTCCCAGCATCATTGTCTTTTTCTTTCCTGTAGAACAAACTACAGAAAAGTACAAAAGACTCTGTAACGAGCACCCCCCACCCCAAAAGAAATGAATTCAACATTTTATCGTGTTTCCTTAGATCTTGTTTAAGAACTGAAACACCGCAGCCAGAGCCAGAGCCCTCCATGTCCCCGCCCCTGGCCAGCCCTGTGCCTTCCAAGGTTCCCGGTGCGTCAGGGCGCCGCACTCACCCTGTGTCGGGCCGGAAGTCCCTGGCACCGCAGCGCGCTGGCCTGCAGCTCTCGGCCGCCGCCTGGATTTGGGGTCTCATGTTGCTGTGACTTGGGACACCTGCTCGCTCTTTAGGCCGGTGACAAAGATACCTTCCCTGCTCTGGGAAGTCTCCCCCGAGCCCCCAGCTGGTGGGGAGGCCGGTGTGCCCGGCTCTGCGGCTCCAGGGATCCCCAGACGTCTGCAGGCCCGGGTTTGGAGGGACCCCGTGTCACCCCCTGGGGCTCAGTGGATGATGGGGGGAGGGGAGGCCCAGGAGGCCAGTGCGCCGCCCTCACCGTGACCTCCTCTCCTCCATTCTGCCCGCAGCCAAGTACCCGGCCATCAAGGCCCTGATGCGGCCGGACCCCCGCCTCAAGTGGACGGTGCTGGGGCTGGTGCTGGTGCAGCTGCTGGCCTGCCGCCTGGTGCGGGGCCTGGCGTGGCGCTGGCTGCTCTTCTGGGCCTACGCCTTCGGCGGCTGCGTGAACCACTCGCTGACGCTGGCCATCCACGACCTGTCGCACAACGCGGCCTTCGGCCCGGGCCGCGCGGCGCACAACCGCTGGCTGGCCGTCTTCGCCAACCTGCCCGTGGGCGTGCCCTACGCCGCGTCCTTCAAGAAGTACCACGTGGACCACCACCGCTACCTGGGCGGCGACGGGCTGGACGTGGACGTGCCCACGCGCCTGGAGGGCTGGCTCTTCTGCACGCCGGCCCGCAAGCTGCTGTGGCTGGCGCTGCAGCCCTTCTTCTACTCGCTGCGGCCGCTCTGCGTGCACCCCAAGGCCGTGACCCGCATGGAGGTGCTCAACGCCCTGGTGCAGCTGGCCGCCGACGCCGCCCTCTTCGCCCTGTGGGGACTCAAGCCCGTGGTCTACCTGCTGGCCAGCTCCCTGCTGGGGCTCGGCCTGCACCCCATCTCCGGCCACTTCGTGGCCGAGCACTACATGTTCCTCAAGGGCCACGAGACCTACTCCTACTACGGGCCGCTCAACTGCATCACCTTCAACGTGGGCTACCACGTGGAGCACCACGACTTCCCCAGCATCCCGGGCTGCAACCTGCCCCTGGTGCGTGGCACGGCGGGGGGCCGTGGGGGGGCGCTGCTGGGCGCGCTCGGGCCGCGGATCGCTGTCTGTCTGCATTCTGGGTCGTGGTTGCCCTGGGCAACGCGAGAGGCCCCCCAGGATAGGTGGGGCCTGGCTGTAGAGTGGGGGGGGGCGCTTCGGGGAGGGCAGGGTCTCGTGGGGGAATGAAAACCTTTTGAACCCAGGCTGGACGCTGTCGGGCCAGCCCCTTGTCCTCTCTGCGTGTCAGCTGGCCCTTCCTTCCGGCAGGGTGGCCTAGCCGTACCGCATTCCTGGCTCCCACCTGCCCTGTCCCTGCTCATTTCTGGTCCCTGCCCTGTGACCCCCCAGGGCCCCTTCATGGCATAGAGAGGACAGGGTGGGCCTGGCACTCCGTGGACCCCAGGGCTGGGCCTGAGCTGGAGCCCCCCCAGGTTTGGGGAGTTTCTGGAGGAGGGAGAGGGAGGAAGAAGAGGAGGAGCTCTGGCTGGGGGCCGGTGGGCTGGTGGGTTAGAAAGAGGAGGGGTGACCCGAGACACGGGGTGGCTGGGGAGGCTCCGGTGGGGAGGGTGTCAGAGCGTTGGAGTCCGTGTGTGCTTGCCTGGTGTGCACGTGTTCTACGGGCATGAGTGCTGTCTGGGTGTGCACGCCTGTGTGCAGGTGCTTGCATGTGTGTCTGAGTGTTCCGCAGTGGCACACGTGTTCGTGTGTGTGTGGTGTGTGAGCACCTGTCCAGGCTATGTGACTCAGGAGTTCGACCTGGCTGTGTTCCCCTGCCCTCCTCGCGTCCCCTGCATCTCTTGCCGAAGCTCCTGTGGTCCTACTGTGTGCTGGGCGCTGTCTCAGCCTCGCCCCAGGCCCGTGCAGCGGGCGTCCTTGTTCCTTGTTGTGCACATTTCACAGACAAGGCAGAGGCTCAGGCGGGGACGGCCCTGCCTCGGGAAGTAGCAGAGCCAGAATCTGGACCCCACGCGGTCACGGAAGCACGTGCTCTTAGCTGTGAGCCTTTCTTTGCTTCCCCCAGGCAAAGTCAGGGTTCTCTGCTCATGCTTCAAGTAGGTCGTCTGGTCTCCCGCGCCCTGATCTTCCCCTCTAAAGCAGGCCGGGAGCCCTGGGTGCATTCCCCCGGGGGGAGTGAAGAGCGGTGGGGGTGCCCGTGCAGGCACTGAGGCTGGGAGTGCTTCCTGGAGGAGGCGGGCTGAGGGTGGGTGCAGAGGGTGCAGAGGGGACAGGAGGGGGCAGGGGACGCTGGGCGGAGGAGTGAGGCCAGGACTGTGGCTCAGCAGAATTCAAGCCAGGCTGGGCTGCTCAGGGGCACGGAAGCTGGGCCCACCTGGAGCTCCTGGATCGGAAACTTGGCACGGGCTGCAGAGGGGAGGGCAGGGGCTCCGAGTCTGCTGTGTCCCAGGCCAGCGGCACCCCGCGTCAGGCAGCACTGAACAGCCTGGCTCTGCTGGACATGGGTCCCCTGGGAGGCCGTCCCTGTGTGTGAGTGTGCGTGCAGCTCGTGTGTTCACGCGCGTGTGTGCGGCAGGGAGGCATGCCCCGGCCCCAGCCTCTGACCCCGCTCGCCCTCCCTGCAGGTGCGGAAGATTGCCCCCGAGTACTACGACCACCTGCCGCAGCACCACTCGTGGGCAAAGGTGCTCTGGGATTTTGTGTTCGAGGACTCCCTGGGGCCCTACGCCCGGGTGAAGCGGGTGTGCAAGCTGGCTGAGGACCGTCTGTGAGACCTGCTGGCGGCCGCCGCCCCGCACCCTCGCTGCCCTGCTGAGGACCTGACTCTCACTGCCCCCCCTCCCCCCCAGCCTGGCGCCTAGAACTGGTTTGGCTGCATTTGGTTCCCACGCCCTGGCTGTGCTCTGTGTCCCAGAGCCCGAGACCACGTCTGGCCACAGCGGGCACAGACTGCAGCCTGGAGAGCTCCCCACCCCCGACCAGGCCCCCCCTGCCTCTGCGCCTCGGGGAGAGCGGCCTGGCCCTGCCCTGGGTGCTCCCGGCCGCAGTCTCCCTGGGGCTGCTTTCTCGGGGGTTTCCGGGCCCTGCATTCAGTGTTGGTTTCCACACCCGCACGTGGGCTTCCCAGCAGCGGGCAAGGGCCCAGCCTGGCCTCAGAAGGGACTGGCCCAGCCCAGCAGGCCGCCTTCCCTGCCAGCCCAGGCCACAGCCCCTCTGTTCCCCCCACTCTCGGGGACGCGCTGTGTGCTTAGGCAGCATCCCCGGTGGGGGTGGGGGGGTGATGCCTTGCTGGCTGGTCCCCGCATGCCCTGGGGTGTCCCATCATCCTCTGTGTCTTCGTAGGCTGTAAAGTGCCTGGTCCCAAGTCCCTGGGGCTCTGAAGCCCTCCGTGTGCAGCCTTCCCTGCTCTCCAGCCTGGCTGAGTGCTGAGGCCGCCGCCTCTCAGCCATGCCCCTGCCCCCACTCCACCCTGAGGCCTTGGCCTGGGGGGAGCCCTCTCTGAGCCCCCGAGGTTGGTCTCTCCCTGACCAGCTTCCGCAGAAGAGATCTTTAGGAGCGGGTGCCGCAGGCCAGATGGACGGAGGGTGGACGGGTGGCTGGACAGATGGGACTGGTTGAGGGACCTGCAGCTCTGGGGGCAGTGGGCTGATGTCCTTGGTAATGACCCTGTCCTGACTGGTGGGGGCATGGCTGAAACCTGGGGGCTGTGAGGGGTGGTGTGGGGTAGGGCGGGGTCCTGGTCTCCTAGAGGCTGCCAGGTAGGCAGCAGGAGGGGTGCCTGGGGCCCCCGGACAGGCGTGGTCCCTGAGGCTGGGTGGGCAGAAAGCCACCCCCTGGGTGGGTGCATTGGGGCTGAGCTAGTTGACCCAGGAGAGGGAGGATGGGAGGAAGGCAAGTTGTTGCTGTCCTGCGGGGCTGGGGGCAGGGGTCTGTGTGGTGAGTGGGGTGGGGTGGGTGGGTGCTGGGGGGCTGGGTGTGGCCTGTGATGCCAGATACACACACACCCATGCCCACCCCCGTCCCCTAGACATTGAGATGGCCCCAGGGCCTGCTGTGTGAGGCACGGCAGCTTGGCTGGAGTGCTTAGCCTGGGTGGACTGGTGGTCTTTACCCATGCAAACAGGTGGGCCTGAGTCGGGGGAGCCAGGAGCACAGCTCCTCCGGCGGCCGGCTGGGGGCTCCCCGGGGAGCTGGGTGAGCTCAGTCATGACCTGCCAACTCCCCGCACCCCCGCCGCTAGAGGTCAGGATTCCTGGGCCTTGGCAGGGAATCTGATGCCCTGGCTTAGAGTCTCTGCTGGACGGGGGTGGGGGTGGGGCAGCCACTCTGAGAGGAGGCCCCTGGGTGCTCTCCCCAACAGGCAGAACCATTCTACATCTGTCTTTCAGGTTGTTGGAGTACTGCATCCGTTGGGGTGTCCAGAAAACAGTCCCGTCATCAGACTGGGGCCCCAGCTTCATCCCCCTCTCCCTGAGGAGCCCCCCCCACGCCCATCCCGCAGCCCCAGGACAGCTGGGCAAACTGCTGTGTCCCTGGGGGCCAGGAGATGGTACCGCTTTTGCAGGCCTGCCCACTGGCGGGGCCCCTCTTCCTCCTCCTCCAGGGGGCAGATGCTCTTGGCCTCCAAAGGGGCGCGCACACTGAGAAGTGCTGGGATGTGCCTTCGTGGGGGCGCAGGGCAGGGCCTTGGTCCTTTCTGGACGATGCGGCCTGTCACTTCCCTGCTGCCTTGCTAAGCCCAGGCCGCCGCTCCTCGCACTGTGCTGAGTGGAAGCCAGCCGCTTCCATGCCTCAGGTGTGGGCGGCACTCGGCCCATCTGGGGAGGGGGCCGTAGCGGTGGCCGTTGCCAGGAGCCCTGGCTGGAAGCCGAGCGGCCCCCACTCTTACTCCCCCCTTCCCCCATCTGCTTTCAGCCCAGCTGCCCACCAAGGTGGCCGCTTCGTTCTTGCGGCTCCTGGCCACGATGTTGGTGGGCCGTTACCCAGAGGGGTATCCTCAGCACGGAGTGGCCCAGAGCTGGTGCGACAGACTGAGCCGGAGCCGGGGGTGTGGACAGAAAGCGTTTATTACCACGTGGATACAGACACTGCGGTGCGTGGACAGACTTGACCACCACGACGCTGGGGACCGCTCGCCCCTGCCAGCCAAGCTGCTAAGAGCATCACCTAGGAGAAAACTCGGAAACTGTCTAATGAAGCGCGTGATTTGGGGGAGTCCTCTATAAACCAAAAGAAATGTACACTTAAATAGGCAAATATAAAATACAAAAAAGGCGAGTAGACCTGGTGTTCTGTGTCTGGTAGAATCTAAAAAAATCCAGAAATTGAACTTGTTTCCTCATTTTAATATATCACAGGTTAAGACGTTTGAATGGAGCACGTCCCGGCTTCAGTGCGTGCGTGTGTGCTGCAGGCCTGGGGCCGGCCGGGCTCCTCGCTGTCCCCCGCCGGCAGTGGGCCTGTGGTCTCGGGCGGTGGCGGCAGGGGCCGGGGGCCCTAGGAGGTGCTGATCCCGCTCAGCTCCTGCCGGATGGCTGTGGGACAGGACAGGGCGGCTCAGGGTGGTGGGGACAAGGCGTGCCTGCTGTCTGCCCTGCTCAGTCTTCTGAGAGCCTGAGCTGGGCTCCCAGAGGTCACGAGGCAGAGGCTTAAAGCCTCTGGCTTTTCTCCCCAGCTTCCTCCTGTCCCCAGCCCCCATGGCTGTCCCCCAGATTGGGGCCTGGAGCTGGAATAGCGGAGTGCCGGACGCTTCGCTGCCAGCAGGGCTTCCGAGAAGCACCACACGGCTTGCGCTTTCCCACAGGCCCATCGGCCACAGGCAGGACCCACCCAGAGGTCACTTCTGACCAGGGCTGTGCCCACCCTGCCTCCCGCAGACCCGGGCAGGGACGGGGGGCCCGTTTCCCACTGCCTCCCACGGTCTCCATCTCTGCACACAGGCTGGCGGTGCACCCGCGGTGCACACCAGCTCTGGCCCTGGGGCCCGCTGGCCGGCCCTTCCCCGGTGGGGCCCCCAGCAATAAAGCGGAGTTAATGGTTGGCCTGTGTCTCCGCTCTGGCTCCGGGCCTGGCCTTGCTCTTCATTCATTAACTCCCTTATCTGGCTGGCCCAGGCCCGTGGCGGGTGTGGGCGGACAAACAGGAACGGAGCGCGCTCTGCTGGGGCAAGGACGGGGCGTGGCCGGGTCCTAGCTCTGGGCCGGGGTTCAGGGCTGCCTGCCCCATAGTGGGCCCCCACCTGGCGGGCCGCCTCTGCACAGCACCCCCTCTTTTTAGTTCATGGAGCCCTCTCTGGCCCACGTACCCCGCTGCTGCCATGAGGGCCAGGCCCAGCCTCTGGTGGCGAAGGGAGGCGGGGTGGGCTGGTCTGCGACTCCCTAAATGTCTCCTTTTCCTCTGGCTCCAGAGCTGAGCCAGCTGTATCAAAGGCTCCGGCAGGAACCGGAAGAACGGATGTGATCAGGGCCCTGACCCCTGTAGCCAGAGGCTCTTGGTTCGAGATAGCACATGTCTGCCCCCCAACACGGGGCCCAGCCAGGTGGAGAATGTCAGACCCACAGGCAGTGCTGTGGTTTCTTGGTCCCACAACGCCCCCCACCCCGCCCGCCCCCCAGGGGAGGCAGCTGCCGTCTTAGCCCAAACCGGGTGATCAAAGGCAGCAGTGTGAGTGCACAGACAGGGAGACAGACAAGGGACACGACTGTTCAGGTGGCTTCCACGGTCTCACACTGGGAAGCATTCTCGGACCCCTCTCCCCTTGCACACATTCACGCGTTTACCCCGGGCAGGAAGCTGGGTGAGCGCAGAACTAAATGCACCCTGCTGGGGAGGTGTGTGTCTTAGACAAGTCACTTAACTGAGCCTCAGTTTGCTGGACCGGAGAATGGGGTGATGTGGAGGTCAGGAGGGGAATGGGACTGTGAGCACGGAACAGCAGGCCTCGGGCCCAGGATGCTCTCTCTGGCTGGGCCACACCACAGCTCTGCTGCTTTATATCCCTGGGGGACAGGCTGCCCTGCTGCTCCCCGGGGACCCTGGGTAATGCCCCAGGGCAGACCCGCCACTCACCATCGATGATTTCCTCCTTCACTTTGTGGAGCTCTCGGACCACCTCCTCGAGGATCTCCTGTAGTGAGCAGAGTGGGGGAAGCTGGCTTTGCCAGGGGCTGTGTGTCCCCACAGGGCAAGGTTGGAGAATTTAAATGGGAGCCCCCCCCCAGTCCCGCAGAAACCAGGGGTGGTCCCAGGGGTGGGGGGAGCCCTAGAGCAGGCTGGAGTGTCTAGGACAAGGGTGCTTTTCTGGTGATGACGGGGTTGTGGGCCCAGTGCTGAGCGTGGGTGCCCCCTTCCTCCTTTGCTGGTGCCCTGACAGACTTCCAGCCGCTCTGTGGAGCCTGCCTCACTGTGGGGACCCGAGAGGGTCCCGGCCACTGGCTCCCTCATGGCCACGCAAGAAAGGTCATGTTTACCTGTTTCATCCGGTCCAAGTCTAAGGCATCCAGGGCCACGTCATTCACGCTCCCCACCGGCTTCATCCTGGAGAGGCAGGGCACGGTAAGAGGGCGTCAGGGCCTGCCCACCATGCGGGGACAGTGTGGGAAAGCAGGCTGTGTGGGCCAGCCTCCAAACGCAGGGCCGAGAACCCCGGGGCCAAGCATGGTCCTCTTCCCATCTTCTTTCAAATGCTTTCTGCTTGGACCTCTGGCCACTCTGGAGCTACTCTAAAAGGATTCTAATGGCTCGTTTCCACCTCAAGAGGGTCTCGTGGGTCCTGTGACCGTACTTCCCAACTCTGCGCTACGGACGGGCTGTTTCTGATCTTGGAGCTCCTACACAGAT